GGGGTGGAAAGGAGGGAAGGGATGGGAACAAGGGAAAGATGGTGGAAAAGGGAAAGAGGGAGAGGATGAGAAGGAGGTGGGAAGGAGGGGAGGCAGGAAGGAGGGGGATAGGAAAAGGGGAGAGGGGGGTGATGAGGGAAGGAGTGGGAAAGGAAGGAGGGTATAGTTTTAGCTGTGTGGGAAAGTAAACAGAGGTAGATAGTGTTTAATGTGTTATACTCACACACCTTCCTTCCTCACCCGTTATCAGTGGCTGGTCATATAGCCCTCCGTCTGTCCTCCTGAAACCTGACCTAACCTAACCTGTGCTGTCCTGACCTGTCCTCACCTAAACTAACCTATCCTAACCTAGCCTAACCTGTCCTGACCTAACCTAACCTAACCTGTGCTGCCCTGACCTGTCCTGACCTAACCAAATCTATCCTAACCTTAACCTGTGCTGTCCTGGCCTAACCTAACTTAAAATAACATAACCTCAGCTAACCTAACCTAACCCATTACAACCGGACCCTATTACAACTAAGGGTCTAATAGGGACTGAATCCCATTAACCTCACAAGCTACCTATAACACTGAAACAGACCTATTAACACCGAAGGCCCATTAGGACTGGGGCATTTGACCTCTACTGGGAGCTAGGATTCTGGGCCCCGTTTCAAGGGTCCTTCAGGGTACGTTAATCCTGAAGGAGACTAAAGGATTTTGCCGCAGGACTTCAGGAGCTGAAATCGTCTTGGTGTGTGTGTGTGTGTGTGTGTGTGTGAGAGAGAGAGAGAGAGAGAGAGAGAGAGAGAGAGAGAGAGAGACACCCTTCCACGCCCACTGTATACCCACTGTACACCCACCTACACCCATCAACACCCACTGTACACCCACCTACACCCATCAACACCCACTGTACACCCATCCACGCCCACTGTACACCCACCTACACCCATCAACACCCACTGTACACCCACCTGTTTGGAAGATAAACAAGTATTGACATTGTTTACAAGTCGAGTGTATGAGGCACCTGTAAACACTTGACCTTGGGAACAGTAAACACGGTCACTTACAAGCAAACACACACACACACACACACACACATGAGGTGTAAACATGGCCTTTGTAAACACATATAGATATACACACACACACACACACGCACACACACATATACAGACAGAGATATGTACGTCAACATACATACATACTGTACATAGTTACTCACACACACACACACACACACACACACACACACACACACACAGGCTCCCAAGGTACGGAATACCACACCAGGTAAGCGATACCAGATTGTAGATAACGCCTCACTGAGAGACTGAAGTGAGAGATAAGGCAGAGAGACACGCCATTAAATGAGAGAGAAACAGAGATCTACGTTATCTCTCACCACAACAGAGGCGTTAACAGGTGGAGGAGAGAGAGAGAGAGAGAGAGAGAGAACGAGAGAGAGAGAGAGAGAACGACTACAAGAATGAAATTGATAAAGAGAGAAATAGACAAAGAATAAAAGAGAGAGAGAGAGAGAGAGAGAGAGAGAGAGAGAGAGAGAGAGAGCCAGAAGGAGCGACAAATTTTCACACCTGATAAGAGAACCATTGGACCAGGTAAGATAAGATACTGTACTATACCCAATCAGGTCACCCTGCCTACCTGTTCCCTCCTACCTGTCTTCTCTTACTCCCACTCACCTCGCTCTGTGGTGATGATGGTCAAGGTGGTGGTAGTAGTGGTGATGGTAGGGATGGTAGTGGTGATGGTAATGGTGATAATAGTGAAGTTGTTAATGGTGACTTTTGTATGATGAAAATGGTGACTAAATGGTGATGATGGTGGTAATGGTGATGCTGGTGAGACTGAGATGGCAGTGATGGTGATAATGGTGGAATGATGGTGACTAGAATAATAACTATAAGATGGTGATTATGGTGACTAGTGAGGATGGTGAATTTAGCGATTTTCTGTTCATAATAATAATAATAATAATAATAATAATAATAATAATAATAACACTAATAATATAATAATAATAATAATAATATTAATAATAATAATAATAATAAATACATAATAAAATATATAATAAATAATATTATTATTATTATTTTGAAATTATCATAAATTATTATTATTATTTTCTTGGCCCTTTATTATTATTATTATTATTATTATTATTATTATTATTATTATTATTATTATGACGAAACGATATCACCCAATTTCCCTGTCACGACGCACCAATTTTTTCCCAATTTCTGAAGGTTAAAAAATTATATTTCACCAATATCTCAAAGTAAATACACAATTTATACCCAATTTCACAAGGCAAAAATACACACCAATTTTTGCTACATTAACATACACCAATTTATGTCTCCCAATTACACAAAGTAAACACGCTCAGATCCTCCCAATTTACCAACGATAAACAAAAATTTTCTACCCAATTATATTCTCCCAATTTATCTACATTATACCCCAATTCCAACCTAATTTCACAACACATCATACAGCCAAATTTGTGGTATATTCACTATTATTCCAAGACCAAACGAAATATACTAATCAAACCATTTTAACAGTATACTCTGGTGATATAACACAATATACTTCTATCACATATATCCCCGGATTATAAGGGTATAAATTCTATCGATATATCAGGGTATATCTCCAGGGTATACTTACTATCGGTATATAATCATAAGTATACTTCAAAAGGGTTATTCTAGGGGTATATTTCTCTGATATATTTTGAGTATACTTTGCCGATGTTGCTACTAGCGCTATTATGTTCAAGGAATATACTGCTAGCTGGTTTTCATGGTGGAGTATAATAATAATAATAATAATAATAATAATAATAATAATAATAATAATAATAATAATAATAATAATAATAATAATAATAATAATAATAATAATAATAATAATAATAATAATAATAATAATAATAATAATAATAATAATAATAATAATAATAATAATAATAATAATAATAATAATCGGAGAATCACAACAAGCTAACACACAATAATTAAATAAAACTAACCCATACATAGATAGAAACTAACATGTTAAATCAAGGTAAAATTAGCGATATTTTTTAGTTAAATTTGAAGAATAAATATATAATTTTTGGTAATATATTTCACGGTTATGTTAATGTTTATGATATTAACTTAATGTTTAATCTAGTGTTAAATTGTGATATGTTAGGTTAATATCTATAACTTAACATTAAATGAATGGATTAAATAGAGTCTGTTTAGTAAGGTTAATTTTTATGTTAAGTTCTGAGTGATTAGGTTAAATAGTCCTATATGTTAGTCAGGTTAAGTTAATCTCTGAGTGATTGGGTTAAATTCACTCCAATTAATCTATAACATTTTTTCAGTTAGTTTAATTAATTTAACTTATCCTCTGACTGATGGGGTTAAATTATTTCCTTTCTGTTAATTATCGTAATTTAACATATTTTTCGTGGTTAGAATAAATTATCCGGTTTACTCTAGAGATATTTTGTTTATGTTAAGATTAAGTTAAATACGGTTCCGAATGAGGTTAAATTAGTAATGTTTTTTATTAGTAATGTTAAATTAGATTATATTATATTTAAGTTTAGGGGAAAGTTGTCAGATGTTAATTTGAGTTAACTTCGATTGTAATTTATCCTAATTTAACTATATTTCGCCCTACAAGTTAAATTAAGTTAAATAAGATATGATTTTATGCCAGAATGTTAAGTTAAATTTCTAGGTAGGTTATATAAAGGTTAAATTTCATCCTAGTGAGTAAAATTATGTTAAATTTTGAGCGCGAATTTTTTTATGTGGTTAAATAATGTTAAATTGAAAGATATTTTTCCTTATAAGTTAAAATTAAGTTAAAATCTCGTAGTCTTCGTATTAACAAAATAAATTAACCTAAGCACATTTAATTTAACTCTACCAAACCATGTGATGTTAATATTACATCAGGTTAGGTGAGGTTAAGTCAGGTTAGGTTAGATTAGGTTTGGTGAGGGTAAGTTAGGTCATAATAGGGTTAATTTGGTTAATTTACGTTAGGTTAGATTAGGTTAGGTTAGGTTAGGTTAGGTTAGGTTATTTAGGTTAATTTAGGTTAGGTTAGGTTAGATAATCTCACGCTTAGGCACGATAACACAAGACTTAACTAAGATAACATAACGGTAGCCGATAACTGCCTTACACAGTTACTGAATAACACATGGCCGATAACTATGATAACAAGCGATGGTAATAACTTTGAGATTTAGCTACCGATAACACGTATTTATGATAACATCGGTTGATTAACTTGATATGTAACAATTGATGACAGATATTTAAGATAACAGCAGATTAACTTGATATTTTAACAACCGATGATAACACGTATTTATGATAACACCGCTGATTAACTTGATATTTAACACGCGTTGATAACAGATATTTAAGATAACAGCAGATTAACCTGAAATTTTAACAAGTGACGATAACACGTATTTATGATAACACGAAGGTGATAACTGATGATATCACGGATATTACTGGACGATTTAAGAGCGATAAAAAGATAACTCGATAACCAACATAAAAACGAAGAGATTAATAAATTGATATCCATAATCCACGATGATAACTGGTAATTAGGATAACACAGGATAATCCGATAATTTCCAACTTAAGATAACATGGGGGAATTAAGTCGATATTTTAATAGTTTATAGAATGATAACTGAAACACAGGATAACACGTGAGGCTTATAATCTGATAATTGATAAAGATAACATTTTGGGGCAGTTAATTTGATATATTCACGGCACAAGTGATAACCTTAATAACACAGTACTGTATGATAACTCGTGGTCTTAGATAACTGGACACTCATAACATCACGATAACATAACATAACACATCGTTATAACAGGTTCATTATATGACACGACAACACTATGAGGTTGGTTGAGTATAACACTGTGATGGGTGGTGACTTACCGACAGTGGGCGGCTTCTTGTCGATGCTGGTGGGCGGCAGGAGGGTGGTTGATGATGTGGGCGTGAGCGGGTGGAGGGGCGGCGGGCCACGAATGGTGCCCGCCACGCCCGTCTGATGCGGCGAGGAGAGGGCGGCGTGGGTGTGACGTCCCAGTGATGTGGCTAGAGGTGTGGGCGTGCGAGAGTGCGTGCACAGCGTCGTGGACGTGGTTCACATCCAGGGCGTGTAGGGGGTCGTGGGCGGGGGTGTGGCGGTGGCGTGGGTCATGGGTGTGGGCGTGGGTGTGGTCGTGGGAATTATGAGTGGGGTCATGGTTGAGGGTGGGCGTGTGGGAGGGTCCATGGGTGAGGGCAGGGGTTGAGGTCGTGAAGGGAGAGGCCATCGTGGAGGCCGGAGGCAAGGCCGTCCATGGCGAAGGTGTGTATCACACCGGCCAGGGGCCCGGCCGGCCGTCGGCCACGTCCAGGGTGGTCGGACTCACTCACTGGCCACCTCGACCACCACGTCCCAGTCACGGTTTCCGCCGCGGTAAATCTGGCTCAGGTCGGCTCAGGTCGTAAGTCGTGGCAAGTCTGGCCAATCCTAGAGTATCCGAGGGAATCACCGCCCGCCGTTCAATCCTTGCCCCGTCGCTGCCGCCCGAGATCGCCCGTCGCCGCCGTCGCCCACTAGTCCACCCTTGCCACTCCAAATCTTTCCAAAATCCCCGACCAAGTCGCTGGTTGTAGGAAGGGCTTACTGTTGAAGCTCCGGAAGCCCCCAGTCAAGTCCGTGAGCTTGGTCACGACTCCCCGCTACCTTCCTGGCCGCTAGAGTTGTCCCTCGCCTACGGTGCCGCCCGCACTCTCTCTCACACACACACACACCCGCGCCCACACACCTGCCAATCTTGCTTCAATTTTTCGCTTTTTTGTGAAACTAAATGCCCAGGGCAGCGCACACGGGTCTTACTGAGAACAATCGGTATTCTGCTATGGCGGCGGGTATTGCCAGTAGTTAACTTGGGCTAAATCATCTCCTATTATCTCCCTCCATTTGGCGGAGTGGCCAGTGGGCGGGGCCTCGTCCAACCCACCAATCAGCTGTCACCTTAACCCTCCCTCCCCAACACACACACACACGGGACATCAGATGGAGAGCTTTAACCTAGGAAATATCCCATCAATCACAATCCTCCGTTCCCGCCGTCAACTGGAAGGCAGAGAGACGCCAGATTTATATATTCAACCCGAGAGTACATTAGAGAGATACTGAGAGACTTTACCTCAACGGGGAGCAGCAAGAGAGAGAGAGAGAGGGGGAGGGACTAAGGTGGATCCAGCGGTATGTGGCAGCATGTAGTAGCGAGAGGGTGACGGCAGTAGTGGGGAGGGGGGAGAGAACCAGGCCAGTAGGGGAGGAGGCAGTAGAGAAGCGAGGGAGGGCCGAGGAGGGTTGAGAGAGAGAGAGAGAGAAAGGGAGGGTCTGTCCGTGTGTGTGTGTGAGGGGCGGAGCTAAGCAATGGGCCGCACTCAACCACGTCCGTCAGAGTAATACCCAAGGAATACACCTGGGTTAAGTTATGGTATAGTCAATTTGATTTGTAGTCCAGAAGGTGGAAAGTCAACGGCGGATACAGTCTTTACTTTCACACGTGTCTCGGGGGTGTGTTTCATATGGTCTTCCTCTCCTCTTCTTCCTCTTCTCCTTCCTCTTCTCCTCTTTCTACTATTCCTCTTCCTCCTTTTAAAACTCCTAACCTAACCTAACCTAACCTTGACTTTCAGACTGTCTCAGAGGTTGATTTTATATGGTCTACCTCCCTCCTCTCCCTCTTCCTCTCCCTCTTCCTCCAACATTATACTCCAAGTTAACTCTCCAACAATGACAAAGTTCCTCCAATACCCTCAACCTCTTCCTCCAACACACCACATTTTTCTCCAACCACCTTCAGCACCTCTTCACTTCAACACACCACCTCCAACACCATCACCCCTCACCTCCACACCAACACCATCACTACCTCCTCCACACATTCCAATAACAACTCCTCACTTCCTTCCACACACACTTCCCAATACCCAACAACCTCTTTCCTCCCCACCACCTCCAACACCCCCACTACCTTCCACACCCCTCACACCCTAAAGTTAACTCTCCACCAATGAGTATCCCTTCTCTGCCTTCGTCTTCCCTTCATGAGTCGAGTATTTCCGCCCTCAAAAGGAGTAAATCTTTAATTGTGTAAAAAATCCTCTGGCCGCTCCTTCAAGAATAGCGGCGAGAAAACTGTGGAACCTAGGGGAAAATCGATGGCCGGCTGCAGCATACTGAGTGTGTGGGGGTGTGTGGGGTGTGTGGGGTGTGTGGGGTGGGGTTGATGTAAGGTGTGTGAGGTGGTGTAGACTGGACCATACTGAGTGTGTGGGGGTGTGTGGGGGGGTGTGGGGTTGATGGGGTGTGAGGTGGTGTAGACTGGACCATACTGAGTGTGTGTGTGTGGGGTGTGTGGGGTGGGGTTGTAAGGTGTGTGGAGGTGGTGTAGACTGGACCATACTGAGTGGGGGGGTGGGTGGGGTGGGTGGGGTTGATGTAAGGTGTGTGAGGTGGTGTAGACTGGACCATACTGAGTGTGGAGTGTGTGGGGTGGGTGTGGGTTGGATGTAAGGTGTGTGAGGTGGTGTAGACTGACCATACTGAGTGTGGGGGTGTGTGGGGTGTGGGTGGGGGTGTGGGTGTGGGTTGATGTAAGGTGTGTGAGGTGGTGTAGACTGACCATACTGAGGTGGGGTGTGTGGGTGTGGGGTGTGGTTGATGTAAGGTGTGTGAGGTGGTGTAGACTGGACCATACTGAGTGTGTGGGGGTGTGTGGGGGGGTGTGTGGGGTGTGGGTGTGGGTTGGTGGTGTGGAGGTGGTGGGACTGGACCATACTGAGTGTGGGGGGTGTGTGTGGGTGGGGTGGGTGTGGGTTGATGTGGTGTGGTGGTGTAGACTGGACCATACTGGTGTGTGGGGTGTGTGGGTGGGGTGTGGGTGTGGGTTGATGTAAGGTGTGGTGGTGTAGACTGAACCATACTGAGTGTGTGGGGTGTGTGTGTGTGTGTGTGTGTGTGTTACGATACTCTGCAGGCTCACCACACCACCACACCCACCACCACCACACCACCACACCCACCACACACCACCCACCCACCCACCACACACACCACCACCCACACACCACCCACCATCCACCACCCACACCCCACCACCACACACCACCACACCACCACCCCCACCACCACACCACCACCCACCTCACACACCACACCCAGCCCACCTTCAAAATCAGTAATAATTGAGCCTTTATCAGTGGATGGTGATGGGGCTCCCAGACCGACATCTCTATCAATGATTTACTACCAATAAAACCTCACACAGGTGAGTAGCCTGTCATACCCACCCCTCCCCACCCCACCCCTACACCTTCTCCCCCAGCCTTCCCCCTCGCTCTATTCCTACCATTCAAATAGTCACTAACCTAGCTCCCACCCCTACCCAGCTCCCACCCTACCCCAGCTCCCCCCCACCCCACCCACCCCAAACCATCAAGCTCCCCACCGCCACCCATGCACCCAACCCCTACCCTATACCTCTCCCGACCACTTCACCCCACCTCCAGCTTCTCCCCACATCCTTCACCCCATTTAGGTCTCATCTTCCTTATCGTCTTCCTCTCCTCCTCCTCCTTCTTCTTCTTCTTCTTCCTCCTCCTCCTCCTCCTCTCCTCTTCTCCCCACCTTCCTCTCTCTCCCATTAATTAAATATCTATAATTGGGTAGTAATTTTATTGTGGTTTTGTATTATTCATCTGATTTACGGCCATAAATCGACGATAAATCATAAAAAAATAACATGAAAACCTGATGAAATTTTTATCGATTATAGCGGGAAAGGAAGGATGAGGAAGGAGGAGGAGGAGGAAGAAGGAAGAAGAAAGAAGACAGAAAGAACAATTATTATTATTACTGTATTATCATTACTGCGGCTACAACACCACCACCACCACCACCACAACTCTACTACTACTACTACTGCTACTACTACTACTACTACTACACTGCTACTACAACACCAACACACCATCCTCCCTCCACCGCCTGCCCCCTCCCAAAGCTACCTACCCCTACCATTAATTAAAACAAGTGATTGAGTCGTATCATTAATATGTAACAAACAGTTTTTAATTAGGAATCATATTGGTCGGGGCGCTAAACACCCTGCCTACTATATTATTATTATTATTATTATTATTATATGTGTTATTATTATTATTGTTGTTGTTGTTGTTGTTGTTGTTGTTACTATTATTATTATTATTATTATTATTATTATTATTATTATTGTTGTTTGTTGTTGTTGTTGTTTGTTGTTGTTGTTGTTGTTGTTGTTAATTGGTGGTGGTGGTGGTAATTGGTGGTGGTTGTTGTTGTTGTGGTGGTGATTAATTAGTAGTGGTTGTTGTTGTTGTTGTTGTTGTTGTTGTTGTTACTATTGTTATTATTATTATTGATTATTATTGTTATTGTTATTGTTATTGTTATTATTGTTGTTGTTGTTGTTGTTGATTGTTGTTGTTGTTGTTGTATTATTATTATTATTGTTATTATTATTATTATTATTATTATTATTTTTATTACTCTTAAAACCAATACTATGTGCGTCTTTTAGTTAATGTGTTATTTAGTGTTTCATTTGACTTTAGTAACTAATATATTGTGTATTTACCATTTAATCTTACATATGTAGTTAGTGTTTTGTTTATATGACCTTTATTAATGACTCTGACCTGACCTGACCTGACCTTCGTTTACTTATAAATACGTGGTTTATGTATTGAAGTTACTTATAATATTCTATGTTTACTTACAAAATAAAAGTAGGCCTATAAGTAGTGGGCCATATTTAGGTACTTATACTAAACAATAATTACTTACAATAATATCCCTATATAAGTAGTGGCATAATTTAGTTACTTAAAATAAACAATTCTTACAAAATAAAGATATAGAGTGGCATTGGTGCTTATTTACTTACGTACACCTACATGTTTACTTAGAAAGTGGTGTGTGTGTGTGTGTGTGTGTGTGTGTGTGTGTGTGTGTGTGTGTGTGTGTGTGTGTGTGTGTGTGTGTGTGTGTTGTGATGCAGATGGGGTCTTCTCTATGCAAGGCTGAAGTGATGGAGAGTCTTAGGTTGGTGAAGAATTGTCTTGTTTTAGTGTGTGTGTGTGTGTGTGTGTGTGTGTGTGTGTGTGTGTGTGTGTGTGTGTGTGTGTGTGTGTGTTGTTGTGTGTGTGTGTGTGTGTGTGTGTGTGTGTGTGTGTGTGTGTGTGTGTGGCCTCTGGCTCACTGTAGGCACTA